ATTATGCAGTTTATGGGCCATTTACAAGCCCAGACCAGTGTTGCCACAGTGTCCTTCTCACCTCTTGAAGGACCTGTCAGGGAACATAAACCATCCATGCTCTGCTTCTTTTTTTTTTTTTCCTTTTGACCATGATACACACACACACACACACACACACACACACACACACGCGCGCGCACATCCACACACAGCTACGGGTGCTTTAACAATTATCACTGTGACTGTCTTATGAATCAGCTCCTGACATCATGCCACCCTTCACCTAGACTTCCTGTCATAAGCCATATTTCGATTCCCCTGTTTTACTGCACATTTTTGAATTATTACATCAGAAACTCAAAATGTAAAGGGCTCCTATCATGCAAAACCAAACTTTGGAAGCTGTTTGGTCAGACATATGGGTAGTATAGTGTGTACAGTACACAGCCTTATTATAGGGGTGTAAACATATCAAGTCTTTATACTGTATATGTATATATATATATATATATATATATATATATATATATATATATATATATATATATATATATATATATATGAGGCCCACCACAATTCCTTCCCCATCCACCAAATTAATTGATAGACACATACAGTATTATCAATTCTCAGTAGGGATGTAACGATTCACCTGAATCACAATTCGATAAGATTCACAATGCAAATCTCATGATTCAGTCAGGATTTAAAAACAAAATTATTTGAAACAAATTTAAGGTGAAGAGCCTTTTCATTTTTTTTTCCTGGATGCTGCACTTTTTTTTTTTTTTTCTAAAGTATAAATACTTAATTAAATAGCTATTTTAAAAGCAAAAAAACAAACAAAAAAAACAAACAAAGAATAATACAAATTAAGGAAGACTAATGCTGAAGAAAAAAAATTAAAAAAACTCTTTCATGGGGAATTTGATGGCTGGTTTGAGGAGGAAAGCCTTTCCTAAACTAGAAAGTAGGGTGTACAGAGGTGGTCAATAGGCCCTGTGATCTAGGGTACTGGCTACTGGCAAAAAAAATACTGATTATTAATTTACTAATTATAAAGTAGACAGAATAGAGAGAGTTGAACAATATTATAAAGGTGTATAATTAATTAGTATAAGTATCACTTTGTTACACTTAAGAAGAGGTAATCTTGAGCATTTTTCAATATTCAATAATAATAAGCGAATTATTAAAATATGCATAAACTAATTTGAAAAGCAGAGTGTAAAAATAATCTAACACCTGTTTCTGTAACAGAACAACTTTCTCTTTCAGTCTGAAAAACATCTTCACCCTTTCGCTATGTGATATCCGTAGCACTCGACAGAGCAAGTGGAGCTGCTAATCATCTGGTCCCATGGTTTGACTTATCAATATATATATATATATATATATATATATATATATATATATATATATATATATATATATATATATATATATATATATATATATATCAATTGATCAATTGAGTACACTAAGTTGTCCATAATGTATGTGTGGGATTGAGTGTGTAGAGTATGGATGTTTCGCAGTGATGGGTTGCAGCTGAAAGGGCATCCGCTGCATAAAAACCTGATCTGGATAAGTTGGTGGTTCATTCCATTGCGGTGACTCCAGACTAATAAAGGGACTAAGCCGAAAATAAAATAAATGAAAATGAATGACTGAATCGTCACATTTAAATTTATTTCAACGGACTCACTGTGAACTGTTACATCTCTATTTCTCAATGCATGTTTTTAATAAAAAAGACGCTATATTAAGTAAAATCGCTATATAATTTGCCATGTAATTTAAAATGACTGGAATCACCATAGCTGCAAAGTGAATTATAAAAATATTCAACATTTTTAAATGTGAAATTTGAAGCATTAAACCAACCTGCACTGTGTGAATTACGGAACATATGTAATATTGAAATTGTGATTTGAACTTGCAATTTAGTTAGTAAAATTAGTATATTTATCATTGTGTGTTTGTGTGTGTGTGTGTGCATGTGCGTGTGTGTGTGTGTGTGTGTGTGTGTGTGTGTGTGTGTGTGTGTGTGTGTGTGTGTGTGGTGTAGTTTATGAGAAAATGCATTCTCCTCATTAGTTAAAACAAAGTCATAGTTTGGTATACTGTACTTAAAAGGGTCTTTTGGCATGCAAAATTTGCCACAGGTTTTCTGTGAAGATTGGGTTTAGAGGTAGGGTAAGTTTATATAATAAGGTTTTTACAGTATGAAATACATTATGCCTGATACCAAATTCACACTAGCAGCAACTTTGTTCCTCTGGGTGGCAATCTGGTGCAAACACAGGTGTGTGTAGGTCTACAGCGGGAAGAATACAACGGCCTATGAGCGAGTTGAGTTTAGAAGGATTCTTAACTTTGTTGCGTCGATTGACAAGCCAAATTTGAAATGATTTGCTTCATTATAAAAAGGAAACACAGCTGTCTTCCATGACTGTCCTTTTGGCACAGACTGAAAATGTGAGAAACACCAGTGTTTCAAACATAAACATCCAGACCCTTGCTGACATGAGTGATTCAGCCCAAATCCAATTCAAAAGCGCATCTCAACTAAAAGAACATATTGTCGCCTCAGAATTATAAGGTTCTGTCTGTGTTTTAAATTATTTTGAAATATTGAGCTTCAAAGATTATGCATTCCATATAACAAACAATTAATAAATGTATGTAATGACATAGTAGTTACAAAGTAATGACACAGTAATTGCACACAAGAAAAATGTGTATTGTGTATATTTACGTATACAACTATAAATAACCAAATACAGTGGATGAAATAAATAAAGAATCATTCACATTTAAAAATATTATCTTGGATGTAACTACAATGTAATTACAGCGTAATGACTTATGTAAATATAATGTAACAACACAGTAATTGCAAACATACAAACGTGTTAATAAAACCAGATTAATGTTTGTAATTACATATTACATACGTGTACTGTGCCTATTTAAATATATAGCTGAAAAAACAAACTGTACATGAAATATACAAACATGTTTGTAAATCTTGCATGTAATTATTACAATGTTACTACATAGTCGTTAAATGTTATAACAGTGTAAGTACAATGTTAATACATAGTAATTATGATGTAGTGACATAGTAATTACATCCAAAATAAACGTTTGTATTTACATATGTACTGCGTGTATTTGTTTAAATACTCAAACCACAAACACTGTACTTGAACTATGCAAAGAAACATTTAGGTTTATTTATATTATCTTGGATGTAACTACAATGAAATTGCACACAAAACAAAAAAATTGTAATTACATGTGACCTGTGTATATTTACGTGGACAACTATAAATAACCAAATACTGTACATGCAATTAACAGAAACTTTCATATTTATAAACATTATATTGGATGTAACTACAATGTAAATACAATTTTTTAACATACAGTAGTAATTACAATATAACAACACAGTATTTGCACACGATAAAAGTTTGTAATTACCTGTGAACTGTGTTTATTTATGTATACAACTATAAATAAACAAATACTGCACATGAAATATGCAAAGAAACATTTACAATATATATATATATATATATATATATATATATATATATATATATATATATATATATATATATATATATATTATCTTGGATGTAACTACAGTGTATTTACAATGTAACTACACAGTATTTAAATACTATGAAAGTTTGCAATTACATATTACATACATGTGCACTGTGTACATTAAAGTATAAACTAAAAATATACACTGTAGATAAAGTATACAAAGACACATTGATAAATGTTATCTGGGATATAATTACAATATAATAGCAATGTAAATGAATTCAATATAATAGTTTGTAGTTACATAACATATGTATTGTATTTATTTACACAAATAACTATAAATACACAAATAAAGTGCATGAAATATACAAAGAAACATTTACGTTTATAAATATTATCTTGGGTGTAAATACAATATATTTACAATGTAATTACAATCTAATGACACATTCATTATACACATGTACAAACGTGTTTATAAATCAAAATTAATGTTTGTAATTACATATTACATGTGCACTGTGCATATTTAAATATTATTTAACTATAAATACAAACTGTACATGAAATCTACAAAGATGTTTGTAAATCTTGCATGCAATTACAATGAAATCTAAATGGAATTACAATGTAACAGCATAGTAATTACATCCAACATCATAGTTTGTATAACATTTTACGTGTACTGTGTGTGTTTATAACTATAATACATAACTACTGTGCATGAAATATACAAAAACATGTACAATACAAATATGTAATTACAATGTCATAACAATGTAATAACAAAGATGTAATTACATACATTACATGTCATAACAATGTAATTACAATGTTATTACAAAGTAATAACATTTAGAGTAAATGTCTGTAGATACATTTGTACTACACAAACTGTACATGAAATATACAAAGAAACATTTAGGTTTATAAAAAATATCTTGGATGTTATTAAAATGTAAACGCAATTGTAACGTAAACGTATTTACAATTTAATGACATAGTAATTAAGTTTGTAAATACATGTGTACTGTGTATATTTACAACTATAAATAAACAAATACTGTACATGCAAAGAACAAAGGAACATTTACATTTATAAATATTATCTTGGATGTAACTACAATATAATGACATAGTAATTACAATGTTACGACACAGTAGTTGCAGTTTTTAACACATTACTCACATTTAAATACAATGTTATAACAATGTGTTTACAATGTCACTACATCCAAAATAAAAGTCTGTAATTTTGTGACACTTTTTTTCTATCAATTTGACCTCAGTGGGTAATTTATCACTTGATTTTTATCTAATATGGTTGTTTCCTCTTCCAGAGCTCTCTGCGGGCGGAAAAAAAGGAATATATCAGGATTGAAATCATAGTGCTTCTTAATTGTTTATTTATCTTAACACAGTATTCTTTTTTCTTCTGTGTCTTTCTACAGCAACTAATGCGAGAGCGCCAACAGATGGCCAGCCGTCCGTTTGCCACTGTCACAGTTGCACTCGAGGCTCCAGAGGAAGAGGAGGAGCTTCTGCAGGGCCAGGCAGATGTGAGTAAATGTGTTAGTTTAAGTTTACATTTAAAACACATTAGGTTTAAGCATGTAACACAATTAACACTCTTAACATAATAATACCAACACCTAATATTAAATTAAAAATATATATATATTTTACAAAATTGCAAATATATAATAATAATAATAATAACACTGACACTGACTCTTTTTTTTAACTGTATTCACCTGCAATGCCTTCCCATAAACTACTTTTCTTTTGATAGTGTTTAATTTGCTTCATATGAGTGCTACTGCTACTTGCTACTGTGTTCATTTTACCGTATTTGGCTAGACAGAGGCATCTTGATTTAACATCAACTGAATTGATTTTACTTATTTTAATGATAAATAGTGAGATTTCATCTAATCTGCTTTGTTAGAGCATCTCTCACTTATTTTCAAAGATTCAGGCTTTTTTCAATCACTGTTTAAATGCCATCTGCAATCACTGACCTCTTAAAAAAGTCAAACACATGTCTAGTTGTCTGTTATTTATTGAACAGTTTCTGTGTCTTGTTCTACGTACATCTGTCTGATTGGGTTGTGAAAGTAGATTGTGTTGGAAAGAGCTGAGGGAAACATATGCATGGAAATCTGGATGTGTTTTTAAAATACACCCAAGACTTTTTAAATAGCTGTGGCGTGATTTGAATCGTACCAGATAACTGCTAATTGCTGGAAGAACAGATTAAGTGTTAAGAGTGTGCTAGACCTGCTGTGCTTAATATCTGGACTGAAAAGTGTGAGAAGCACTCAATGACTGAGCCATCTTCAATGTTACACCTAGAACTCTTCAGGTGTAAAACAACATCTGCTGCACTACACCAACTGTTCCTCTCATATAATTTTAAAATTAAATTAAAATGATTAAAGTGTATTAAAGAGATCTACACACACACACACACACACACACACACACACAAATCCTGTTAATTTACTCACCCACAGGTCATCCAAGATGTAGGTGACTTTTTCTATTAAAGAAGAATTTGAGCTGAATCCATGGTTCCTGGAGATTTTTATAAAGATAGTGAATGGTTGTAGGTTTTTTTAGATTAAAAATACACACAAATCCAAATTAAATGCCATTATTCTAGGCAAAGCAAAACATCCGGTCCGTGTGGGAAATAAAACATTATTTACAGTATTATTAACTTTAATTCACGGCCTGGTAAAACAGTCTCTGCATGTAGCTCTATTGTATTCTCCGTTAATTAACCATAAATATTATCATTTGCTAGTATGTATGGGTATTTAAATGTCTGAAACCTAAAATAAACATTATTTGTTTGTTTGCATATTTTGTTTGAAACCCTTGATACATTGTTATTTGACAAGCGTCGCATGCCTCTTTCTGAATAGCCATTTTTGGTTACCCATAGAAGCATTCATTAAAAAAAGAAAAAAATGTTTAAATATACTACTGTGCCATCAGGAGGACGCTTCAGCTTCACAGACTACCACTGACAAGCCAGAGTGAGAAACACAAGCAAGATGGCAATAACAATTATTTTACACATGCTCTTACAATGTGTTGTACTCACAAGAAAATAGAATAAGAATGTTTACTCTATTCATCTCCCATTTAAACAAACACTTACTTTCATATAGCTTAGGAGACGTTGATGAATTAACGTGTTGTAAATCCAACAGCTCTAATCCCCTCTGCAGTAAATGGGACTGTAATTTGTCATAAACAAGATGCATCTCTATGGAAATAGAAAAAGTGATATCTTCAAAATAACTCGGGAAAGGGGGTTCAACCCAGCACTGCCTCTTGACTTTACTTAGGCGGGCTGCCCAGATATATTAACGGCCCCCAAGTGTATTTAGTGACACATTTTTATTTTTATTTTACTATTATAAACATCCTAGGGCTGCACAGTGGCACAGTGGGTTATACGATCGCCTCACAGAAAGACGTTCGCTGGTTCAAACCTCGGCTGGGTCAGATGGCATTTCTTTGTGGAGTTTGCATGTTCTCCCAGTGTTTGCTTGGGTTTCCTTTGGGTGCTCCAGTTTCACCCACAAGTTAAAAGACATGTGGTATAGGTGAATTGGGTAAGCTAAATTGTCCGTAGTGTATGTGTGTGATTGAGTGTGTATGGGTGTTTCCCAGTGATATATTTTGTATCTGCCCAAAATAAGCAAATTTTCGCGATAATCTTCTCCCGTTTACCCGTTTAGTTCTGTTTGTGCGAAACCTGTCAGCTCTTCAGTCTTACTGGCTTTGCAGACCCACATAGACGTGCCTTTGTGGGACTTAAAATGTTTGTCCGACCCGGGTTTCTAATTCTCTTAAAATGTCTGGGATTTAACTTTTGCTTTCACTTCTTAAAAGGTTAGTCTGTTTTTGCAGTATTTTTTTTTTTTTTATTAAATACTACTTTCTGCTTGCTTCACAGCTGACAGCATGCACAGCCACAAGAGAAAAAGTAAAAAATAGATTTTCTAATCTAAACAATTCAGAAAAACTGTACTATATGCTCGGAGTGTCAGGATCGTGGGTGGGGAAAAGAAATGAGGACCCAAGTGCAGGGAAAGATGGTATTTATTTAGAATAAAATAAAATAAAAAGCAAAACAAACCACCCCGAGGGGGAAAACACTTACAAAACAAATAAACAAACAAAACAAACTAGACTGGGCAGGCTGGCAAGGATCAGGACTGGAGCACTCAGGACTGGAACAAGGCAACATACAACAGGACAAGACAACATACGATGACGAACTGGCACAGGACAGCAGACATGAGGAGAATATAAGCAGAAGTAAACTAACACACAGGTGAACAAACAGGTGTTAACAAACAGGTGAATCTAATAAACTAATAATGGGTTAACAAGGGGGGAGGGACTAGACAATAGATGGGAGAGCACATGACACAAAGAGACACAACACAAGCCATGCGTTCACATAAAACAAGACTAGATTATGCAGCCAATGAGAGAACTCATTAACCGCAGGTTCATATAACAACACAAGCGTACGGTGCATGTAAACATGAACCATATGCTAAACACAACACCAACAGAAGACTGAATGCAAGACACGAGTACACGATGAATGAAAACACTCACCATGCACTCATGGTCTGCTCACACCCACAACGGCGCGCACACAGAGACACACACAATGACAGAAAACAAGTGCTCGACCCCAAAAAAATCGACCCGAGCACAACATGACAAAACAGAGCTAGTGTCCGGACCCTGACACAGAGAGGATGAAATGACTGGTCTAAACTGGCTGCAAAATATATATAGACCATTAGTTGTTAATCAACGCATTTGCCCTATTTAAATAATCTACAAGTTTTAATCTTGTAATTATGATTTTTTTTTTTTTGAAAAATTGTCTGTTTTTATTCATTTTATGTGATTTATTTCTCATTTGCTGATTATTATATTCATTTGATAATGTTAATATATTACATAGGCTATTTTATATACAGTACATATCTAAAATTACATATATTTCAACAGTTTTTTTTAACCCATTGAAAAGAAACAGTGTAAAACAGTGTCATAATAAATACAATTATTGTTAAAATTAAATTATGTTTTGTTTGTTGTATATAGTTAACTATTTATGTGGGATGTGTAAATGGTGCGTTTCAATCCGGCTACTACTGCAAGTATATTTCAAACATGTGGGAAGCACTGATATTTTGATCTAAGGGTTGATCAGTCACATCATTAATTATCTAACTACGTATTTAACAAATGAAATAACTTAAATGTCACCAGCAGCAAAAATAATACAATAAAATTAATAAATAAATACATTCAAATACATTCAAATTCAAATACAGTCTTTAATCCATTCAGCTCTCTTGAGTTGCTGCCACCTTTTAAAAGACATGCAGATATTTGCTCTCATTTTAGCACCGATTCTCTCACTTTGCCTTTTTGACTGCAAGCTCTCTGCAGTTTAAGCTTTCCTGATTTTGACAACAGATGATTCTTCAGATGTCAACAATGATTGCCCTTTTGGCCTGTCTAGAATTAAAAGCACATTTCAAGGAGAATTGAAACAATAAAACTTTGTGTTTTTGTAAATTAAAGAAAACACACAGTGTCACTTTCTGGACTGTGTTTACATTTTTTATCAACTAAGCTGAGCCTTGATTCAAAGCATTCAAAAAGAATGATTTTAAATGTTAACTATATTGAGTCTTAAATTGAAAGATAAATTATTTATGGATGTCATGTAAGTGTTCCACAATAGGATCTAATGCAATGAGCGAAATAAAAAGCAGGTAAATCACTGGCTGCCATTTGTTGGATAAGCCATTGTGGCACATGTGATTGCAGCAGCCTCTATGACCTTTACTGCATTATAAAACAACAGGAGAGTCATTAGCATAAATCTTCACATCAGCGTCCATATAACATCCATACAACATAATAAAGCTGATGAACCACAGCCCAGAGCACCTGCACTACGCCAAAGCATATCTTGCCTTAAATGTTGTGCTGATCAATAGCGGCCCAGGGTTTTTATAATGCTGTGAGAAATAGATCAATTTCATATGCAGGGCTTTAATGTGCTGTATTTACCTCCTGTGGGCGTTGGGGAGATAAAGACTATTTATGATACTTATGAGCTGTCGGGCTAGAGGAAGACCATTATTATTCAGATGCATGCACAAACTCACGTACATATTCATGGACATGACGGCATTAAAGGTGTGTTTTTTTTATGTTTTAGAAATATGTTTATGCACATCAAAGCTACATTCATGCATTTGTTTATCAATGTGTGCTAAATCTGTTTGTATATATTTTAAAGGGCACCTATTTTACCCCTTTTTTTAAGATTTAAGTCTTTTGTGTCTCCAGAATGTGTCTGTAAAGTTTCAGCTCAAAACACCATCAGATTATTTATTACACCTTTTAGAATATTGAAATATTCTGCTTTTAACACATTGCAGCTGTTTTTGTTGCCTGTGCCTTTGATGCTGGTTAATGCCCCGCCCACCATTCCCAT